AAAGAGAAAATTATCACCTGTGTATGATATTTACTTGGTTCAATAGCCTCATCATACATTTTTTACTCAGCAACTCAACCCACACATCTCTCTCACATAAAGTTAAATGCAAACATGAAAACTTAACTCAGGTGTCCTCTTTTATTTTCCACCTCATTAACCATATCAAATAAGCATGACACATTCTTCATACCAGAAACGAAAAAGAAAATAACTTTGAAAGTCTTAGTGGTGTTCCAGTTTCACAATGTGTAAAAGAATGCTCTTTACAGGATGAAACCAACAACCACTTCCTTTCCATCTTCAGTATATATATATAGAGAGAGAGATTCTCTACTTTGATGTGGAGAAATACAAAAAAGCAATGATGGTTCTTCTAATGTGGTTCTCTGTTGTGATTTTTCTCCTTGGCATTCCCGGAGGTAAGTGCTAAATTATACTAGTTTTTTTATTGTTAATTTCTTTTCATTTCTGATAATGTCACTTCAGAATGATCAATGAAAGGATAAACAGATAAGCCACGCTGTTTGTTTCAAATGTATGGATTTCTCCTTGAATTTGGACAGTGATGAAGAGAAAACTACTCAGGTCTCCTTCAGGCAATAGAAGGCCCACAGGAGAGAGTCAAAGCTACAGTTTTAAGATGATAGTTTTATTACATATACTAGAAAAGCCATAATGAAGAGAAGCAACTATTGTAAGATTCAGGATATATGTACTGCATATAGTTTTATATACATGCACAAACACAAACATACATATACACAGAAGAGATCCAAAGTCCAAATCTGACACCTTTTCTCCTGTTCATGAAACCTCATAGGCTGAGAATCACTCATTAAGTGTTAGGAGTGGTTAGCCTCAATAAGTTATTGTTGTATCAGACCAATGAGATTTTTGCTGTTGACCATATCACACCCAACCCACATAATGCCAGAGTTTGGGACTGTATCAGGAGAGGACAACCTGAGTAAAGTACTGGGTTTATTCTTGCATATACTGTAAATTGCAATATTTAATTATTAAGTATTTATATTATTGCATCAGAATCCCACCATTTCTAAGTATAAGGGCAATGTGAATCAGTATCAGTAATGAGTAAGTTCGCTCCCTTTATATTACTTTTTCCCTTTGAGTCTCTCTGCAACAGAACTGTCCTGACATTTCTGTTGATTAATCACTGCACTGGTTATTGGGAAGAGTGATGACAGAGAACACAAACTCAGATGAGAACAGGAAAATGGAAGAAGTGTCACTCAGCAAAGAGGGAGAGAGAGAGATAGAGACAGAGAGACAGAAAAACAGGAAGAAATTTTGTTGTTTTCTTATCGTTTCTCTATTCCTTACACTTTCATTCTTGTGCTCTGTTTTATTTCTTTCAATAAAGCCCAAAGTGTATAAAATAATTATTAGATAATTGTGCATTGTATCCATCAATAAAGATATTTAATTTAAATATAATACTTTATTGGTTTATTAAGTTAATCAGTACTTAATTAATCAGTACTTAATTTTAGGCACTTTAGTGAGAATCAGACTTGCTCAATATTCTCTAGAAGGCAATCCAGAACATTTAGCTTTTTAGAATAGAATTGTCAGGTAACATTGTGCACTAATGTTCTTGCAGATACATGTCCCAATATTACTGAGATATTCAGTATAAATCATATAAAAAGTACACTTTAATGAAAAGTAATCATTAAATTTAGCTATTTCCAAGCACAATAGAAGGACCCAGCAACGTCCATATTTTTATATGTTCCAAGGTATGTAACTATGCTTCTCTAATCTGGTGTCCTCCAGATGTAATCCCTAAAAGTCCAAGGTAAGCATGCCAAAACTGGAAGTGTTACAATTTAAAGGTGAGAAATGTGTTAATAAGGGCAAAAAAGCAAGATTGCTTTGATTGATTAGTGTGAGCACTTTGTATGATGAAAGATTCACATATTGTGTTGGTTTCTTTTTCCTCTTTAACTAATGGATTAACCTAAAGTTGCATTTTGTGACTCGTGATTAGCTTGGCTTCTTCATTCTGTTTAGATCACTGTGCCCAGATCATTGGAGGAAAAGAATCAGTTCCACATTCAAAACCTTTTATGGCCAAGATCAAAAACCCAAAGATTTGTGGGGGGACCCTGATCAAATCAAACTGGGTATTAACAGCAGCTCACTGCATCATGTAAGTTTGGAAGTTTTGCTAGTTTTTTATTTATTTATTTTTAAAATCAGGTTTTATTTATATATTTCTTCCAAGCATAACATAGCCCTGCAATTTAGGGATGAGCAAAACCTAAAATTTCAACCCAAGCAGAAATTATCCACTAGGTATCATCTTTCAGGTAAATTGTTCACTGATCCCAGCTTCTTGGCATAAATTCTAGGGGTGGCAATGAAGCAAAGAAATCCAATCTATGTTTTGTGTGTGTGTGTGTGTGTGTGTGTGTGTGTGTGTGGGTGTGTGTGTGTATGTGCCTGTGTGCATTACTTGAATTTTTCAATAGAATAAATATGTATAAAAAGAGATTGAAAGTAAGAAAAGGGGGGAAACAGAAAAGGAATTAAAAGAGAAGAAAATATACATTCTTTCTATCAAATAATTATCACTTTATTACTTACCCTATTCTCTTTGACCCTTTTGAATTCCCAAATGAAGAAATCATTAATTTGATTTTTTTCTTCTTTCAACAAAAACTCTATGTAAGGTTTCCAGCTTCTCAAAAGAAATGGTTTTTTTCCTTTTTTTTCTTTTTCTGTATCCAGACTGGTTAGCTTTGCTATTTTTGTGAGTTCAGTTAATTTTATAATCCAATCTTCCATTGTACATATTTCATTATTTTCCCAACCTTTTGCATACAATAATTTTGCCACAGTTACCATATACAATATTGCTTTCTCATACTTCTTTTCTAATTCCATGACCATAAAACCCAGCAGGCCTAATTCTGACCTCATCATAAAAAGATAACCTAGTTTTGATGGTCAGGCTCTGAACAGATGAAGAGCCAGAAGCCACAGGAGGGAGAAACTGGGATAAACCAAAAACTTGGGCAAAATAGGAGACAAGATTGTGCTGGCATACCTGGCTGAAGAATTCTGGGAGTTGAAGTCCACAAGTCATAAAAGGGCCAAGTTTGAAGACCCCTGCTGTAGATCATGATAGAGAATGTTTCTGTTCTCTCAAAGGTCCTCATCCCAATCTTTCTTTTCCATGTAGAGCAAAGCATGACATTAATAGTGCATGCCTCCCAGCACATTATTGGTGTTATTGTTCTTGTGAAAATGGCATATAATTTGACCTCCCTTTGATTTTCAACCTCCAGAACACCCATATATTGGTGTGAATGTATTGTAATTTATTATTGAACTTATCCAGAAATAGGCCATTGAAAGTATTTTGCATCTCCTATCAAAAATATATTTACTTCCACTGTTGAAATAATACTCTAATAAAAATGGAAGTAAATGATGCTTTATAACTGAATATATCTAAGCCTGCTGTCTCCAAATCTTAAACTTATGTGCCAAGAAATAAACAATGTTAAAACCAGTAGAATTTAACTCTGAAGAAACATAGAAGATTGAATTGCCAAATGATAAGGCTTAATATCCAGCTGAGATTATACCACATTGTACTTGCTAGAAATGAACTTTATTCAATTCTTATTTATCCTCTTTGCTTTTTAGAACAAATAACACTGAAGTTATTCTTGGAATTCATTCAGAAAAAGACAGAACAAAACAAGTTTTCAAAGTTAATAAGCACATTTATCACCCGTGCTATGATAAATTCACAAAGGAGAATGACATTATGCTTCTTCAGGTATGTTCTAAAGGATATACATAATATACATGGGATGGATGGCAAGAATGGTTTCTCCTTTTCTTTATGAATACAGAGTCCTTGACATAGCCTCATTTGGGACTGGAACTTCCATTGATATGCGAGGCAGTTCTTAAAAAAATCATGCCAAATTTTATGACTTTTTTTGCTATGGTTATTAAGCAAATCATTGCAGTTATTAAGTGAAACATTCAAATCTGGCTTTCCCCATTGACTTTGCTTGTCATAAGCCATCTAGGAAGGCTGCCAATGGAAATCACATGACCCTAGGCTACTGCAACCATCATAAATCCATGCTGTTTGCTAAGGGCCCAAATTTTGATCACATGACCACAGGGATGCTGCAATGATCGTAAGTATGAGAACTGGTCATAAGTCACTTTTTTGAGTGCCATCATAATCTCAAACAGCAGCTAAACAAATGGTTCTAACTTGAGGATGACCTGGATTGTGGTGGCAGCTATTCCTTTATAGAAATCAATGCACAAGGGATTTAGCTCTAGCCTTGAGAAGGGAGAGGAAGAAAAGGGAATAATTATTCACTCATGTTGTTGATCTGACCTACCTCAAAGGGCTGACAAGCAGCCCATAAGGGGAACATGACAGTTGAGGCCCAATTGATTGGCGTAGGAACCACCAGTGGAATGAAGAATATTCTCACACTCAAGTGAGGAAACTTACTTTTCCCTTTAATGTCAGAGATGGAGAGTAGGAGGGAGGAGTTCTTATTTCTATATAAATGATCAGCAGGTGTAAAATTACACATATTGAAGGAAGTTCAAAGCATTAATGTTGTTTGTTTTTAATTGCAAAGGGCTCAAATGGTATAAATGTTGCTTCTCAGACTCATTATATCTGCCCAACATTGTAACATAGGTCAGGCTGAGATGAGGTGACTCTCCAAGGTGTAAGTCTAACATACGATGCATTACACACCATATTGACTGTTAATGTAAGGATTAATCTCTTCTGCCTTCCCTCTTGTCCCATTTAAGCTTAATAAACAAGCAAAACTTAACAAGAATGTGGCCATCGTCAAGCTTCCTCGAGTGTATGGTGACCTCAAGGCTGGAACACAGTGTCTGGTAGCTGGTTGGGGGGTTACTCAGAGTGGAAGTAAGACACCATCAGATGTCCTCCGTGAAGTTAATGTCTCTGTCATTGCAAGAAGCACCTGCAATGATCAAAAGCACTATAATTCTCAGCCTCTAGTAACAATGAATATGGTCTGTGCGGGTGACAAGAGAGGAGGCAAGGATGCATGCTCTGTAAGTATATCTATCTACCTACTCTGAATTTTTGAAATTCAAAAATAGTATATGGAAAGCAGAATTTGAAAGAATTAGTAATCATACTTGCATGCTTCTAGTGTTCTAAGAAATCAAAGTCCTACTCTAACAACTGTAAAATTAGTAAAATCTTCCCATCATAAAGTCAGTTGCAAAAAAGCCATCTGGAATTATATATCCATTCAGACTGGCTGCATTATGGCCTGTGATGAATCTTTAACAAAAAGTACAGGTCGTCCTCGACTTACGACCACAATGGAGCCCAGAATTTCTGTTGCCAAGTGAGACATTTGTTAAGTGAATTTTACCTCATTTTACAATCTTTCTTGCCGTCGTTAAGTGAATCACGGCAACTGCTAAGTTAGTAACACATTTGTTAAGTGAATCCGGCTTCCCCATTGACTTTTGCTTGTCAGAAGGTCGCAAAAGTCAGAAGGTCGTGACCCTGGGACTCTGCAACTGTCATAAATGCAAGTCAGTTGCCAAGCGTCTGAATTTTGATCACATGACCATGGGGATGCTCCAATGTTCATAAGGGTGAAAAATGGTCATAAGTCACTTTTTTCAGTGCTATTGTAACTTTGAACAGTTGCTAAATTGTAAGTCAAGGAGTACCTGTACTTATCGATGAAGCACTGGGGGGGGGCAGAATAGACTGTGAATTTTTCAGAATACTAATCTGAAGTGCAGCTGGCTCCTTGTTTGCCTAAATGTGGTTACATTCTCCACCTATTCAGAATTCACACTTGTAGAATAGATGGTATCTTTATGCAGCTAAATGAAATAGTCATTTCCTCAAGAAAATATATGGCTGGCAGTGATGGGAGTGAGATAAAGCACGAACACCCAACAGAGATATATGCACACAGAAACACACTCTCCACTTCTTCAAAAAATATATATTTTCACTTTAACTCATGTTCCCTCATAGTGAAATAAGCAAGCTCGTGGGGGGGGGGGACAAGCATATATGTACAGTCAGAAATACAACTATTTTCTGAAAAGTGCCATTTTAGATTTAGGTTTATTTGTCTATTTTGTAGAATTCCATCTACCTCTCTTTTATATCAAGGATTCCTTCTTCCCATCTTTTTCCACCCCATTAATTCCGAAAAATAGGTTTGACCAAGAGAGAGAGACAGAGAAAGAGACAGAGACATAGAAAGGCAGACACTCAGTCCAGGGGGTCTGCAGAGGGTCAAAAAAGTCAAGATGGTAGCCAAAAACCAGACATTCAAAGCCCTGCCCCTTTTTTACATGCTTCAGGGCAGAAGGCTGATTCTATAATCAGGATCTGGGCATCCTTCTCCACTTCTGGCACTGAGGGTCAAGCTATTCCAGAGTGAGGGGATTCCTGTTGAGAAAGCATCCTGTCCCCCATCCTCCCCATCCAAACTGAAAGGATACAGTCCCAAAGATAACTAAAGCCCAAGCTAATTAGAGCTTTATACATAAAAACAAGCCTCTTGAATTTGAACAGAAACCTGCCAGCAACCAGAGCATCTCCCAGAGATGTTACTCTATTTGGCCAAGCTGATTAGCAAACGTCATCAAGAAGGCCAGTGCACTCCGTGTGAATTGCAGCTTCTGATAATCATCTTTGTAGCAGGGCCTTGTACAACAAACTGTAGTAGTCTAATCAGGAGATGACAATGGCATGAATCCTTCATTATTGTATACTACAATTGTCCCTTGAAAGAGAAAAGCATAAAGAGTCACTGTATCGGTCAGATGGGCAGCATAGAAATTTAATGAATAAATAAATAAATACAATTGCTGCAAATAATGCAAAATCTCTCTTTACAACCCCCCTTTTTTTCTCCCTTGTGCAGGGTGATTCAGGTGGTCCTTTGATGTGCAAAGGGGAACAAAGAGGCATCGTTTCCTTTGGTAAAGGATGTGGACAGTCTAAGTATCCTGGTATCTACACCCTTCTGACAGATAGATATTCTCGTTGGATAAGAAGTGTTATACAAGGCAGTTTATAGAATTATTGTTGATGTTGACATTCTTTTTTATTATATTCATTCATTATGATTTCTTTAAAACAATCTTTTCCAGCCTTTTCCCTCCAGATGCATTTGACTAGTGAGTCACACCATACCCAGCTAGCACAACCATTGAGCCTGCTGGCTAAAAATAACATTGACTTCAGATGAATTCATCTGGAGGGTGAATTGATCAGCTTTGGTATTTAGGTTTTCTATTTAAATGCAATTTTGTAACAAAGGTTTTTTTTCTTTATAAAAGATAAGCACAAGTTTCTAGAAATTGGCTGTATTTTTCTCTCTCTCTCTCTCTCTGAACACTTACTCTGCTAGATAAAGTTATTCCCATGTCTATCACAAATGAAATGGTATTTTATTTCCAAAAAGCAGAAGAAAATAAATCCTTGTTGAAAACCATTTTGTTATTGTTGTTGTTCTTTTGTGCTATGTATCCAGTGTTTGCTTGTGGCAAACTTCAGACATTTTCTATATTTGAAAGAATGGGTTTCTGTGCTGGGAATGGCTTCTAAATGCCTTCTATGGGATGGCATACCATAACAGGACTATTCTTATAATTGGAGGTCCTTTGCAATTGCAAAATTCCCAGATATGCACACGAGTCCTTATTATTTGAGACTTCTTATGAATCTATACACCAGGGGTCTTCAGACTTGGCCCTTTCATGACTTGTGGGCTTCAATTCCCAGAATTCCTCAGCCAGCAATGCTGGCTGAGGAATTCTGGGAGTTGAAGTCCACAAGTCATAAAAGAGCCAAGTTTGAAGACTCTTGCTATACACCACTTTTATGAGTGACGATGTGAGGGCACCAAAAGCACTGGAACTACTTATCTCCTGCAGTTACGAAGTCTTCATCACTTGATGTTTTCAAACAAATGTTGGACAACCATTTGTCTGAGATCCCAAAGGTGCCTTTTCAGGAGGCAACTAGATTTTCTTGTTTTTTCTTTGAAGACATTTCACTTCTGTTTAAGAAGCTTCTTGGACAACCGTGACCTGGATGACTGAGAATCTCCATAGACATTTGTCTGAGATGATGTGAGGCAGGGGATTGACTACAAGATTAGCTTATCTGCTGGTGACCTTCTACCATTGCTCCATAGAGAACATTCTAACCTATTGCATTTGTGTGTGGTTTGCCAACTGCAGAGTAGCAGATAAGAAAACGCTCCAGAGAGTCATTACGATTGCCCAGAGGATTATTGGCTGCCTTCTCCCCCCCCCCTCCCCCATGAACTGTACTGTGTTAGGAAAGCCTAAAACATTCTCATCTCATCCCAGACATTCTTTTTTTTTTTTGAACTATTATCATCTGGCAGACAGTACAGGATAATAAAAACAAAGACAAATAGGCTGAAAAATAGTTTTTATACCATTATAATATAAAACATTATAAATTCAGTTAGAACCTGATAAATATTATAAATTCAGTTAGAACCTCTAAGGTTATCATAGCAGCTATGCAAGTAGGACGTTTCGGTTCTTAGACAATATTTCTTTACAGTATGTGTAGTCATCTTCAAAGCAATTTCGTTTTGAATTGAAACCACAAAGGAAACCCAGGTATCAATCCTGTGTTCTAGAAATCATTATGACATCATGGAATTTCAGTAATCCCTCTAATGCACAACTATTTAATTCAGAAATTCTCCAAAGCATCCACTAGCTATTAGTGGAAGGAGAATTACACAGGGAAGACCATATATAGAGAATGGGGTAATATTGGAAAACAGGCAGTTTATGTAGGGGAATGTACATCCAGGAAGATTATTAAATTTCAAAAGAAATTTAAAAGGCACTGATGATAATCAAACATATCACCCCATGGATGATTTACACTACCCTTGTGTTTGGGAACAGTGGTTTATGAGACACATGCTTAACGCTCTACTGGGCAAGAGCAGCTTCATTGCCCATTGAAAACATGAAGCATTTCATATATTTCTGCTTATAAAGTGAAGCAGAAAATAACTTATTTCCTTCTTGGCCCAATTCCATATCTGAGCTGCTTCCTCTGAAGCCATGTTTGAAACAACAACGTGTGTGTGTAGTGCAGTGTTTGAACTCTGCCAATACATTTGCAAGAATACAAGAATATACTATGCAAGAATATTCTATGCAAGGATAGGATAGACATCTGAGGCTTTTTTCTCAGGCTTGATTCAAGATGCTGGTTTCTATCTATGAAATCAAAACATTTGAGATGACAGATCTTTTCCTTTCCATAATTTGCAATGTGAAGCCAGTCCCATGATCTGTGTTCTAGATAGGTGAAACTGGAGAAGAATACTTAGCTTTTTTAATAGCATTTCTCAACTAAGGAATCTTACCTAGATTAACTGCCTTTTAGATGGCTGGTGAAGACAACATTGTTGGTGGAACGTTTAATAATCCTTCTTTATGAATTTATAATTATTCTTTATTTCCAAGGCATGAAATATTGTTCAGCATTTTCAACTGATATACCTTTTTAGTTATTTATGTTGGTTCATTCTGTTGAGCACCCACTGAGCAGAAAAGATAGTATTGCATGATTCTATACTGATTAAATAAATAAAATGGCTTATCAGGAGTATTTATGAATGTTGACAATTTGACCCTTCCCCAGTCAAACCTAAATTGTGCTCGATAGCAAATTTCTAAGAATTTTCTTTCACCTTTTGATGGTGAAAGAAATTACAACTAACTGAAATGCAACTTTCGGTGGAAATGTTTTATGCTTGCCTAGTCTGCCAACTTTATCTCCTTCTCACCAATTGTCAAGAAAAAATAAATAAAGAGGTTTGAAACTGACAGGAAAATAGGAGAACAGAGTATTTGTGGTACAAAAATAATGTAAAAGATCTCTATTTGCATTTCTACTGTACATGAACCTACCTATTTTAGCTTGTCCTTGCTACAAAGCCACCAGTTGTTAGAATAGACTAGAACAGTGGTTCTCAACCTTTTTAATGCCGCGACCCCCAACCGGTCGTAAGTCGAGGACTAAACCGGTCGTAAGTCGAGGACTAAACCGGTCGTAAGTCGAGGACTAAACCGGTCGTAAGTCGAGGACTACCCAACCGGTTGTAAGTCGAGGACTTTCCCTGCCCAGGAGCGCCGTGCATGCGTGGTTCCACCCCCTGCGCCGGCTGAGGCGTAGCTGGCAAGCGGCAGAGATGGAGCAGGCCGACCACCAGCTGGCCCAGCCCAAGGGAGGTAAGGCACCCACCGGAAAAGGGGGAAAAAATGGCAGACAGCCTTGCTTGGTGACCCCCGTGAAATGGTCGATCGACCCATAGGTTGAGAACCGCTGGACTAGAATGTATAAATTAAGATGCCTATTAATGGGGTTCTGTTCTCATGAGAACAGAATCACTGTATGTTCCTTTTATCTTGTATTGCATGGTGAGCTTCTACAGAAGGTTCTTGTTTGAAAGAAGTCAGCCACCAATTGACCCAGTATGACCCCATATAAACTTTAGTTTACATGCTGTTAGGGACAGCAGCCGTCCTCCAGAGTTTTTACTGATGGATTTAGCCATCTTCCAAAGATCTGTCACAAAGAATGATGAACATCCATCCCATCACACAATTCTAGAAGTTACTGGAGGAACAGAATGCTGATGTCATAATCATGTGGGCTTCTAGTAGACTTTTGTTCAGTCTTTCTCCAGAATTAGCTACAGCTAATTTCTCTCTCTTTCTCTGGCCCCACTGCACACCTTGCTAAACTCTGCTGCCTAGAAATGATACCTCCTTCTCCAAAGACTTTTTATTATGAGTGAATATTTCTGAACTTGCCAAAAATGCATTTAGCAAATGAATTCTGGGTTTTTTTATGTATTCAGTATATACTGAATATCTTGTTGTTGGTGAATTCAAAGTAGCATCTATGGAGCTTTTGTTTGTTTTGTGCTTTTCTATTACCATTTTCTTCCTCAGAAACCAGAGGGGTAAGTGCTATTTTGTGAATGTATTTTCCTCACTTTGTCTATTGCACAAAGGCAATTGTTTAAAGTGAATGGGAGGTTTGCCATAATGGGAACAAGGTGGTCTAAAGAAACAGAAAACTCTCAAACCGAAGATCCCCATTCTCTCATCACCAGGTCCAGCTCCATGCCCACCCCACCCCCACCCTCTGCTCCACCAAAAAGTAAAAGCTTTTCCCCAACTAGCAAATGATTTTCTAGCACCAACAAGGCTTTAAAAGATTTTGAATAAAGCCTTTTTTTCAAAGCCTCAATGATACATGGAGGGATTTGTGCTAAGGCAGAAATGACCACAGGAGAGGATCAAAGGGGCGCATCACTCCAGCATGATGCAAATTTCATATCTTTCGAACATGCTCTGTGATGTCACATGGATATATGAAAGAGGTGGAAACATCTGTCGCCCTTGCATGATGCTGCTCTCATCATAGAGAAAAGAAGGGCTAGAGGTGACATGGTAGCAGTCTTCCAGTATTTGAACGGCTGCCACAAAGAAGAGGGGATCAACTTATTTTACAAAGCACCAGAAGGAAGACAAGAAACAATGGATGAAACTAATCAAGGAGTGAAGCAACCTGGAATTAAGGAGAAAATTCCTATCAGTGAGGACAATTAACCAGTGGAATAGCTTGCTTTCAGTCCTTGTGGGTGTTTCATCACTAGAGGTTTTAAGAAGAGACTAGACAACCATTTTTCTGAAATGCTATAGGGTCTCCTACTTGAGCAGGGAGTTGGACTAGAAGACCCCCAAGGTCCCTTCCAGATCTATTCTGATTGATTGATCATTTTGATAAAAGCATTGGACCCTGCTGACACAGCAAGCAAAGCGATTATCTTCTCTCCCAAATAGAAAAGCATTGCAATAAAGCTTCAAAGAGTTTCTACTCATTTTGCACTTGAGGTTGCTATTCATACATTTGAAGTTTGCATATCCAAATGCAAAATACTTTCATTGCATTTCTCTCTGATAATAGTCTATCACAGCCTAAGCTGTTCATTGTGGCTTAAAGGTTATAACTCTCACATTTTTCAAACATGTAGATTTACTTCAAAAACAGCTTGGCACCACTGTCTTGCAAAGAATGGTGTCCCGCTATTCTACTGCCCCCCCCAAAGTAAACTGAGGAAGGAGAGGGAGCCTTCTATAACAGGAATCAACTTGTTTCCTTCTATAAAATGGCTGGTTTGCAACTAGCTGCCATTTTGTGTATAGACAAGCCTCCCCAACATTTATTTTGTTAGACCTCCCATGACACAGTCTCACACTGTGAAATGAACCTACTGGTCCAAAATCACAATACCCTCCTCAATTCCAACTGGAAAAATATCCTAAATATAAGGATAAAAGGAATAAGTGCTCTAATGCTAACCTCTTCTGTCACCATTTGCACA